GGGTGGGGGTGGGATGGATTGCCTTTTTCTTTCGTCTCTCTGAGGTGGAGCAGGGAAGCAGGCAGGACACCCGGGTCGGGACCGACGCAGGGGAGGCGGGTTAGTTGAAGCCGGTGTCAGTGTGGTAGGAGTAGTGTCCGTCCGACGTGAGTTGGGTGGTCTCTGTTGCCGACGGCTGCAGCACTATGGGGTCACCGCCGGCCTCTACTTAAGAGACAGACAGAAACCACATTTGTTTATTTTTTTGTTTTTTTTTAAGATGGCTAGTCGCGTCACAAAACCTGCAGCCGCTCAGGCCTCACCTCGCTCGTCAGACTGGAGCTGCGCCTCCAGGTCCTCGGGGGACACGTAGAAGTCCTGCTCCGGGCTGTCCCGGGGCCGGGGTTTACACCGGCCACAGCAGCAGTTACAGCAGCAGCACAGGCAGCAGCAGAAGTAGCATCCGGTGGCCAGTCCGCAGAATATGAACAGAGCCTGCCGAGGACACGCATTCATCAAAAACAAGCTCATATTAGGAACTGAGCCTGAACGAAACTGAAGGAGATTTTGTAACTGATTAATTAAATATTAGATGCAGTTTTGTATTTTATACTTGCTGATCATTTCAGTCTTTAAGTTTAAACMGAATGAGCGTTGGTGTGTGTCTTATCATGTGTTCTTTCTTTTAGTCTAAACAAAGACGAGTTACGTTCTGATGTAAAAGATAACACCTCCAGGGGTGTAACCAGGAAGAGATGAACATTATAAGATCAATTCGTTATTATAGTAGAAAGCAGTTGTCAGTGTGTTAAAGAGTCTCTGCTCAGAGCAGAGCTGCTGTGTTTTCGTTTCAACCCAAGGTTTTACTGAGGCCTGAGTGCTGTACTGTGAACCTGACTGGAGTCAGAAGATTGAGAACAAGTTTTAAAGGGATCCCCGATTAGTTGTAACATTAGACTTTATATGATAAACATATAGTTTAACTGTGAAATAAAGACTGTAAAAATACTCTAGGATGTTCAGTTTTTATAATTTTTAAACTAAAAGTTTAAAAATATATTACATGGACGGAGCCATTTTATTTACATGCAAAGCATTCTGGGTAAATGATGACATCAACTAGGTCATCGGTGCGAGGCTGCTAGTGAGCTATATCCACCCTGAAGGTTAATCTTGGACAATATCTGATGATCGACTCTTTTAAATGAAACCAGAGAGCGTTGACAGAGAGGAGAAGGTAGAAATGACTCAGCCTGTAACTGAAAATATGGATGGAGGACCTCAGTATAGCTTGTTTGTCACGCTAGCGCTGGGCTAATACATATAAGGCAATATAGCGTGGGTGCTAGCGCGAAGGCTAACAGGCTAAGCTGAGGTTCTTCTTCCATGAAGYAGCTCTGTTGTCCTCCATCCATATTTTCAGTTACAGGCTGAGTCATTTCTACCTTCTCCTCTCTGTCAACGCTCTCTGGTTTCATTTAAAAGAGTCGATCATCAGATATTGTCCAAGATTAACCTTCAGGGTGGATATAGCTCACTCGCACCGATGACCTAGTTGATGTCGTCATTTACCCAGAATGCTTTGCGTGTAAATAAAATGGCTCGTCCATGTTAAAATATATTTAAAAAAATTTACAAAACTAAACAGCCTACAGTATTTTTACAGTCTTTATTTTACAGTTAAGATAAATGTTTATCAAATAAAGTTTAATGTTACAACTAATCGTGGACGCCTTTAAAAAGAAATCCAGTGGATTCCTGTTTTATTCGGACATTCCGTTTTTGAACATCGTGTTTCTTTCTACAAAACCACATCAGACTCATTCCCTCTTCTTACCTTGGCCCACCAGCTCGACAGGACAAAGTAAGTGTTGACGTTCTCCTCTCCAAACTGCTCGGCCACGTATAACCCCAGAGAGCCGTATTTATCGTAAATGTTACGCTTTGTGGGGTCRTTCAGGATGGCGTGGGCGTTGTTGATCTCTTTGAACTTGTCGGCCGCCTCTGGATTGTCGGGATTCTTGTCGGGATGAAACTTTAGCGCCAGTTTCCTGTTGAGTTGCAGAGGGTAGARAATGACTAAAATGAAAGCGACTGTGAAGCCAGCAGAGCTGCAGATTCTACGGCAATCCAGGATTTACGGAGCTGACAGATCCGATTGTAAATCAAGAAGAAAGGTCTGAAATATTCTTTTTTTTTATGATTTCCAGACATCTGCTGTGAAACGAGACTGGATTTGATGCGACCTGCTGTAAGCCTCACCTGTAAGATCTCTTGATATCATCRTTTGTAGCCAGCTTGTCCACTCCCAGCACATGATAGAGAGATTCCCCTGCAGTGGACAGTGAGCGCTGTCTCTGGTGCTCACTCATGATGTCTCACAACCACGGGCTGGACACACAAACAAGAACACCTAAGAGAAAAATGGCAAGGGCTGCTGCACGCTTTGMTTTTTAAACATCATTTATCAGCCGGACCAGAGTCAGGCCTGTGCCACTGCAGGCAACAGCTGATCTACTGCTGCCACTAATAATATACAAAATAACTGATTACACTGTTTATTTATTTATTTTTATTTATCATTCTTTCTTTCTGGGAGGATTTCAACTGTTTTTGGTGATCACTGACAGAGTGGCATCTTTGCAGGCTTCACCGGTGCCTGTACGCTGCTTTCAGTAAATTAAAATCAGGCATCTCTGCAAGCAAACAGCCTCCAGAGCAGAACAAATTAAAGATAATTCTTCAAGTAAAAAATAAAATAAAATAAAARACTGAGCCAGTCATTCCTGAGAAGCAGCCTGCCTTCAAATGGGTGTCAACTCGACACAAATGAAGAGCCACTGGTCTATTTAAAGCCCTCCTCAGCTAAATACCACATTAATTTAACCAAAATCTAAGTGATCTGAGAGGTGGCTGTCAGTTTTCCCTCCTAACGAGCATCATCCTGGTGTAAACTGTCCTGCAGGGAGGATTAAACGCTACGATGCTATAGAATAATCTCTGAGCGAGCATCATCAGCTGCACTGCTACAGCGCGCAGCATCCATGTTGGGTCGCTTCCTGGCCTGTTCTCTTGATGCAAAGCAGGGATGGATCATCAGCTTGGATTTTTTATTTTATTTATTTTTTTCCAAGGACAAGAGGCAGCATCTACAGGGAGAAAAATCACAAACATCCAGAGTGAGGCTCACCTTTCAGTCGGCTCTGTAGCGCTGGACAACTAGCGATCCCCGACGGGCTGTGATTTGAGTCGGCTGCAGCGTGACTATGGCCGCATCTCGTACGTACCCGGACCCTCTTTGGCTCCCACTACACGACCATGRACAGCTGCAGCAGCCCGCTGGCTCCGCCCACCTCGTACCCCCGCGGACCGACGTGCGCGTCACCGACAGTTTGGTGACGGAGAAGCGCGCGACCGCAGCTTCTTCGAGGAACTCGCTGTTGTTTAGCTTCAGAGTAACAGAAATAATGAATGAAAACCAGTTTCGGTCAAACTAAAACCATGTTTTTACTGGTGTTAAATGTTGTCTTACATCTACGGAGCTACACACAATAACAATGAAAGCCTCACTGCTTCTAATTTTTCCTGTTTTCTTGTAGTTACAGTATTTTAGCTCTAGCCTGCTAGAAATGTAAAGGTGCATAAAACCAGGTGCACTCACAGCTACTTTATGAATTCCTCCTGTTGTCTTAAAAATAAAATTACTCACAGTGGTTGTAGTAATGGGAACGGCTATTTAAATGTATTAAAGCACCATCTCAGTGATTATAGCCATTTTGATCAGGTTAAGTGTTTTTTTTTTTTTGCTGGGAATTTCATTAAATTCCATCCATTGCTTCATGAGATATTTTACTAACAGACATATTCACAGTCAGAGGCAATTGCATTACTGCCCACCTTTCACTGAGGCAGGCAATAAAATTAAAGACTATGCCACCACAGCAAATCTGCCACGAGAGAGTCGTTCACTAAAACTCACAAATCGAACAAAGAGGGCATTAATCAGAGAACCAAGAGGATAACCCTGTTGAACCCATCCAAGCTTCTGCATATGGGCTCCATGTAAAAACCATTAAATAATAATGCAGATCATCCAGATTTTGTGCTACGACATAATGGAGACTTCCTAGACCTGCAGAAGAACGTGCTGTGGTCAGACTAAAGATGGACTTTTGGGCCATCAACAACATCATGTCTGGCACAAACATAACACATCTCATCAGGCTGATCATACATCCCCACACTGATGCACGGTGGTGGCAGCTTCATGGCGTGTGGATGGGACACTGGTTGGATTAGAAAAACGAATGGTGGTAAACAGAGGGAAAATCAGGAAGGAAAACACTTACCTGTGCTGCTCCTTGGCCCAATGGAGGGTCCTTGTGGAGTTGAACCAGTTTCTAATAATATTACAATATACTGATGCAGCACAGGCATGCACATCAATCCACACTGGATCCTGCTCCTTCCAGTCTGTTGACCAATAGAAGAGGAGCTGAACCAAGAAGGAACGCTCAACTTATTTGCACAATGAGGCAGCAATGCATAAAGTAAAAACAGGAGAAGGAAAACTGTAAAAACAACACATGGAAATAAAAACACTTGTGGGAAAAATAATGAAAATTATTAAATAAAACAGAAATGCAAGTAAAAGGAAAAACCAAATAATAAAAAAATAAAACRGTAAAATTTAAAATTTTGTGTGCTTTGCGTATARTTTGTTGGAATAAGCTGGAAAAATAAATATGAAAGTCAATTAAATATAAAACATGAGGTTAAGTTCTCCTTTTTAAAATTAATTGGTGCATTTTAAGTGTATTTATTTATTCATTTTTTGTCTGTTTCAATCCTCCATATAAATGGTAACTCTACGCATTAAACAATTCCTTTATGTAATTAAATAAACTTTAAAAATCTGCTAGGTAATAACACAATTCTTACAAAAATTTATTTAATAAAGTTCTGTCTAATAAAAATGGGAATAGTTTATCTCCTTTACACCAAGTTATTTATTTTAAAAGAATAAATTAAATAAAAGGATACCTAATTTATTCTTTGAGGAATTGTAGTTTTCTGATGGGTGTTAGAGTGCTTCAGGAGATGAAAATGAAATGATCACAAAAACAAAATAAACAGATAATAAACAACAAAATTATTGTTCAAACACAAATGACAAGGCTGTATAAATATAACAATATTTTTTTCAAAACACTACATGAAAACAACTTATTAATTTTAACAAAAGACCTAAAGAATAATTTAAAAAKTACATCTCATAAAATGTGCTCCAGAACAGAGCCTCTGTGCCTCAGCAACGGTGACGTCACAGCCATAGCCAATCGAAAAAAGCGCACGTATTGAACGTAGCTATCGCGAGAATACCGCGTTATCTYGGTTAGTTAGCTAGCGGGCAGTGGTCGACCGTGTGGTTGGAATTTACACTATTTTTTATTAATACCGAAAGCGTCCAGAGGACTGCACAATACTGATTTATTACTCGTTTCCTCCGACTGCTGGAAAGGAAAATCGCCGGATCTTGAGTTTAACGGTGAGTTGTAAAAACGCAAACAAACTGCTGGCTGTTGTTTCTCAGGAGGAAATGAAATGGGTTTGTTTTGAACGCCTCGGTAAATTTCCCTAATGTTTTTAGGCACGCTCGCATGCGTGTAAACACGACTGAAACAGCAGAAATAATATGTTAGTAGTAGTTATTTTTTTACTTTAACATGTAATATCCCTGTGTGTGTTCATTTGTTGATGTCTGCTTTAATAAGTTGTTGTGAGGTTGCTGCTCATGTAGGTGCAGAGTGTGGCCAAGCTGTGTCAGTCTTGCTCATGTTTTGCTGTGTGTCACTACACTTCAGGACCCCCCCCCCAATGATGAGTTATGCTGAAAAGCCAGAGGACATCACAAAAGAGGAGTGGATGGAAAAACTAAACAATGTTCATATACAGAGAGCAGACATGAATCGACTCATAATGAATTACCTGGTGACAGGTGAGTTTATCTCGTAACCATGTGTGGGATAGTCAAGAGGATGAGCTGATTTTAAGTTGTTTGYCTGTTTTACGTGTCTAAAGAGGGCTTTAAAGAAGCAGCAGAAAAGTTTCGAATGGAGTCAGGGATTGAGCCGAGTGTGGACCTGGACTCTTTGGATGAGAGGATAAAGATCAGAGAGATGATCTTGAAGGGCCAGATACAGGAAGCCATCGCACTCATTAACAGCCTTCACCCCGAGCTGCTGGACACCAATCGATACTTGTATTTTCATCTGCAGGTATGATYGCACAAAGCTTTGTTGTCTTATGTTTTCATGGATTTTACATCACAAAGTCTTACGGTGGGTTGTGTAAGACTTTGGCTTGAACGGTGGCATTCCTTTTCCCATTCCCTTTTTTAGCAGCAGCATTTGATTGAACTAATCAGGCTAAGGGAGACTGAGTCAGCACTCGAGTTCGCTCAGACACAACTGGCCGAGCAGGGGGAGGAGAGCCGAGAGTGTCTGACAGAGATGGAACGAACGTTAGCCCTGCTGGCCTTTGACAACCCCGAGGAATCGCCCTTCGGAGATCTGCTGAACATGATGCAGAGGCAAAAGGTGGGCCTGTCTTTATTTGAGTCATAAGCAACTGTTACTGCTKTACACCGCGTAACATTTAAAGGCTGTTTCAGCAGAAATAAACATCAAATGTTCATATTTGGAGTTTGACCAACTGAGAAACAGGTGTATATAGGGATGGCATGATTTATGATTCAATTGTCTGCCGGCGATTGAAGGAAGAAAATTAACTTTATTAATTAATTAAATGCTGTGCCAGGGATGTAAAATAAATTTTAAATGCACCTTTCTCTGTAAATTAAAATGTTTTAATCATCGTCATTGTGATCTGTGCAAATGAGGGAATAAAATAACAGTGCTGCGTCTTTTTTYTTTCTCGGAGTCGGAGCCAACGTGAGCAGCTCCTGTTCACGTCTCTCTTCTCGTCRTCWTCTTGCTTTGGAGCGCCACAAATGACCCAAATAGAGCTATATTATAACGTTTAGTTACAAAATGAATAATCGATGACAATCATACATTTGAACAAATAATTTTAACCAGTTCCGAACCGGACCAGAGCGCAGTCCCTCACCCCTGCTCATCCCCATCACTCTGGGCTCTGGCATGTGTGCGGGTCGAACTTTTCACCCGCCTCCACATAAGAACACATACGGACTATATGGTGTGATTGGTCAGAAGTTTGTGGGAGTGTTTGTTTTTGCTAAAAGCGCTCAGAMGCTGCGTTTGCTTCCACCACTTGCTTAAAAAAAAGAGAGAGAGAAAAGTGACTCGTTCGAACGCCGACTACCAGGAAGCAGCGATTATAAAGATAGTCAAACGGCCAAAACCTCATAAAAGGGGATAAAGTAGACTATTTTCACGGTGAAATCTGACTGATAAAAACTTTTGAGCTTAATCCTGGACCAGTTTGTGGATAAACAAGTCGAGTGACAAGTGTTGGACTTTTTTTTTCACATTGGATTCCCCCTGGGTAGAAATCCCCTGTAGTGATGTATGCAGCAGTGGGGAGGGGGGTTCCCAGGAACTATGAAAGGTGTGTGCGAACACAAATGCCAAATAACCACAGAATGTACAAGTGACTAGAAAAAAAGGAGCCGTCGCTTAGAATAAGAGGACCTGCTTGTTTTTTTTCTTTTTCGTTTTTTTAACAACGTAACTGCGTATGCCTTATCAGCCGATTGGATCGTCTATCGGCGATAGCCAGTGACCATGATCTTATGATCTGAAAATAGGGACGATTTCCCATCCCTAGGTGTATATGGACTAAATTGTTATAAATCAAACAGTTCCTGGTAGTGCTGGGCGGTATGACCAAAATTTTATATCACTGTATTTTCAACATTATTGGATGAAACATTTGCCTGATGGAGCAGAACATTATTTTCAACACGTGAAACCAGTGAAACCAGCCCACTGGTTTCACGTAGGGCTGGTCGATTATTGCAAAAATTATAATCAAGATTTTTTTTTGATTGAAATTGAGATCTAGATTATTTAACAAAATTATTCATAATGGGGCCCTATAAAATCCGTTTTTCCCCCAAATTCAATTTTTTTCAGTTTTTAATTTTTCTAACTTCCACATTTTCATTGTAACCATACTTATTAACCTAAAAGGTGTGTCATAAGG